AGATTCTGGGAGTGGGATCAGGGAGGGAGATTCTGGGAGTGGGATCAGGGTGGGGATCCAGTATCAGGTGATTGTATATCTGAAATGAAACAATAAAGCACTGGCTTCAATTTTGCTGATTGAAGTCTGAATAAAACACTAAAGTATGTCACATCGAATACTGTCTCAAATCCATCTTGAATTCAACAGACTCGCTATTTTAATTGAAACTATGGAGATAACAAAAACTCGTTTTTCTAAAACAAGTTTCTAAAACAATAAAATGCCTGAGGGAGAGCTGTTACCTTACTGTTCACAAGGTATCTCAGTGAATCTCAGTGAGAATGAAGTTGTTAAAAGAGATTTCCTTTCAATCATAGTATTCCACCGTGGTTTGTCAGAAGCGGTGCTCCTTACCTGGAACGTGTTGGGGGAGAGCTCAGTGCTGTGAAGAATGTCTCTCTTATATCTCAGCCGATAGTCTCACAGTCTGTCGGGTTGGAAACAGGATTTACAAGGTTTGTACTGCAATGGACAGGACTGGTCAGAATGCGTTGCCCTAACTGGTTAATTAACATAACATAATGAATGCTTGGGCAGCTTCCCCCTCGTGTTTGACTTAAGAAGTTTTTGTTCAGGAACATGAGAATTAATTAGGCCCCTTGAGCTTGCTGCTTGGAGCACAGATTGAGTAATGATCCAGTAGACAGTCAAGTTGACCCAAATATAACTAAAATAGAAATTGCTCGAAAAAGCTCAGCAGATGTAACAGCATTTGAGGAGAGAAAGCAGAGTTAATGTTTCAGGTCCAGTGACCCTTCTTCAGAAATGACCCAAATCCCAGTAAACGCTTCAGGTCTGGTGACCCTTCCTCAGAACAGCTTTTTCAGGTGGGATCAGCTCCACAGGAATCCTCTGTGTTAGGAACAAGGAGAAAAGAAGTGACATTGATCTGTTGGCTCCTGAGTGCCCAGTATTCGGGACACTCAATGTTTTCAGACCCAAGGAGGGGCAGATGTTGAACTATGGAACATCCAGTTCTAGGTCATGAATTGGATTTTGACTTGAATCTTGTTATGGACATCCCCAAAGACCTGACAGAAGAAGCAACCAAACGAGATTAACCACCGAGGGAACATACATAAACCAGTAAACCCAGCCCTAAATTCCTTGACCCCAATGCTGTCACATTCTTCATTTTCCTTCCTTGACTGTCTGTAGGAAAAGGAATGATAATGAGTCACATAACAGGATGGTGATGAGAGTAAGAGGATTAACACCATCCTAAGACCTTGTGCTGTCAGAAATTGCCAAAATAGGGGAAGGGTAGTGATGATTCATTGTTAAAGTACAGAGCAAGGGGAGAGGATTTCTATAAAGTCACATCTTTTCTGAACTCTCTCTTTAGGATGGAGAAATGTGGTCGTCCATGAACTGCTCTCTTTGTGCTTGTAAGAAGGGAGTGACAGAATGTTGGAGGAAGGAATGCTCCCCCATCAAGAGCTGTCCTGCGGTGAGTGAGTGTGATGTAGCCAAACCTATATTTGAACTATGTACCGCACCTTCCATCAGCTTCAGTGGAAGGTATAGTGACCTGGGCAGCATCTAAACTCCTCCATAGCATCACCAAGTTTGAAATGGAACAAGGCAGGTGCATCCAGCAGTTACAACTGGTGTTTTCTAGCTGAAAAATAAGCTATGAGCAGTTTGGTTACAGACTTACTTTTTCAGCGTTTGAGTGAAAATTTATAGCTCAGATGCTGATTGTAGATGTTGATGTCTTCGCCAAGCTGGGAGGTTTGGTAGCAGACGTTTCGTCCCCTTATTAGGTGACATCCTCAATGCTGTGGAGTCTCCTGTGAAATGCTGTTCCCTTGTGCCAGTCTGAATTAATATGGATTCAGGGATAGTAGGAACTCCGATGCTGGAGAGTCTGAGATAACAAGGTGTGGAGCTGGATGAACACAGCAGGCCAAGCAGCATCAGAGGAGCAGGGAAGCTGACGTTTCGGGTCTGGACCCTTCTTCAGGTCAAGGGGGCGGGGTGACACCTCCTCCAGTGCCACAATGATGCCACCCGAAGGTTGCAGGAACAGCAACTCATATTCCGCTTGGGAACCCTGCAGCCCAATGGTATCAATGTGGACTTCACAAGCTTCAAAATCTCCCCTTCCCCGACCGCATCCCAAAACCAGCCCAGCTCGTCCCCGCCTCCCTAACCCGCCCCTCTTTTCTCCCACCTATCCCCTCCTCCCACCTCAACGCCCACCCCACCTCCTACCTACCAGCCTCATCCCCGCCTCTTTGACCTGTCTGTCTCCTCTCCACCTATCTTCTCCTCTATCCATCTTCTATCCGTCTCCCCCTCTCTCTCTATTTATTTCAGAATTCCCTTCCCCTCCCCCATTTCTGAAGTAGGGTCCAGACCCGAAACATCAGCTTTCCTGCTCCTCTGATGCTGCTTGGCCTGCTGTGTTCATCCAGCTCCACACCTTGTTATTCCTGAATTTATATGGTCCGGTTTTTGCTGCTTCCGGTAGGTGCTGGTTCTGGCTGTGTGTTGTAATGGTCGGTATATCGGGTCTAATTCCATATGTTTGTTGATGGAGTCCATGGATGAATGCAAATCCTCCACACCACAGCTAACAAACAGAATAACCAATACAGGACAGATAATAAAAACAGAATTACAAAGGATGAAACCGGAAGGCAAGAACATTCCAAGATTCTACAAACTGCCCAAGGTCCACAAGCCTGACATATCACTCAGACCAATTGTGGCTCTACTAGGAACCCCATCTCACAAATTAGCAAAGGAACTACAACAAAAGCTTAATCATCTAATCAGTGGATAAAGACACTCCATACAATCAACACAAGAATTCCTGGACAACATCAAGAACACCAAAACAGACAAAGAAGAAGTGATGATCTTGTTCAATGAAACAGCATTGTTTACATCAATCAACAGAAACCTCGCCAAAGAAACCATATCCAACCTACTAGACTAACACAACAGAATACATTACGAGAAACAGATCAAAAAGCACTGCATGCTCAAACTACTGGACTTATGCTTAACAACACACTTTACATTCAACGGCATGATATATGAGCAGATCAACAGGACTCCCATGGGCTCACCCATCTCTGGGCTGATGGCTGAGGCAGTCCCGCAAAGACTGGAACAAACAGCCCTCCCACACATCCAACCCAAGCTCTGGATCAGATACATGGACGACACTTTTGTAATTATGAAAAGAACAGAAATTTGAGAACACCCACCGACTCATCAACACCATACACACAGGGATCATATTTACAAGAGAGGAGGAAAACCACAACAAACTCCCATTCCTGGATGTGATGGTGGAAAGAAAAGAGAACGGTGACTTCACTACAAAAGTATACAGGAAATCCACACATACTGACCAGGTCTTAAACTGTCACAGCAACCACCCCAGTCACACAAGAGGAGCTGCGTTAGGACCTTGTTCTAAAGGGCCGCTACACACTGCAGCACACCCGATGTGCAGAAGGAAGAAAACCTCTACAAGTCTTTACCAGGAATGGATACCCCCACAGCTTCATCCACAGATGCCTAGCCAACAGCCAACACAAACAGGACACACCAAAACCTAAAACCCATATATAAAACACACCTCCGAACTGACAGCCAGACTACTCAGACCGCACAAATCAGCAGCTACACTAATACAGCAACTGACCAGGGTTCAAGATCCAATAGATACCATGGACAGGACGAATATGGTTTACAAGATACCATGCAGAGACTGCACAAAACACTACGTGGGACAAACACTCAGACAACTAGCAACCCGCATCCACGAACACCAGCCAGCAACTAAACGACACGACCAGATGTCCTTGGTTCCCATACACACAGACGAGAAAAACCACACTTTCAACTGGGACTACACTACTATCATAGGACAAACCAAACAGAGGATAGCCAGGCTTGGCATTCATCCGCAGACTCCATCAACAAACCCATTGAATTAGACCCGATATACCCACTGTTACAATGCACTGCCAGAATCAGCACCTACCGGAAGCAGCAAAAACCAGACCATATAAATTCGAACCGGCACAGGACAACTGCGCTTCACAGGAGGCTTCACAGCAATGAGCATGTCACCTGGTAAGGCGACGAAATGTCTGCTTTCAAACCTCCCACCTCAACGAACACACCAACATCTACAGACTTACTTTTTGTACCGTTATACCCCTGCCCTGTAACTTAAAGTAACTGGTCATTTAGCCTAACATGGAATCAATAGGAGAATTTCTCTGAATTACTGTCCCATCAGAGCCTCCTCGTGTGTTTACAACCCTGGGCTGTCTCCAGCTTTGAATCCTGTTAACGCGCAGACCCTTTCCCAGACTGGACAGCTTATATTTTCAAACTCACGTTATGTAGCTAATCTTTGATGAAGAAAAAATGTCCCTTTAGAAAGTGGTTCCTGTCCTAACTTTGCACTGTGAACATGAATTGATGGCTGTAGGAATAGATAGGGAATGGCAGTGCAGACGGGTACACGTATGACCCTGGTTTTAGTGGATAACTTTGTCTCTGGTGTGTACTGCATTAGCTGAACTCAACTTGTGACAGGGACATTCAGACTACAGAGAGTCACAACAGATAGACAGCAACAATCATTCCTGATCTCCATCCTGTGACCTTTTCTTGCAAACACATTAAATTCAGCATTCAGTTTGGCTGTACCCTGCTGCAATTGAACAGCTTGGTTATTCTTATTGGCAATGTGCTACCACGCTTAGTGATTTCTTGCCTGCACCTCAACAAACATCAACACCCATCAAAAATCAATGCTCCGACAAATATCAATAACCAATGAAACATCATCATCCAACAAACATCAATAGTCAACAAACATCAACACCCAACAGACAACACCAAAGAAACAACAACACAGGAACAAATGTGAACACCCAAAAAGAATCAACATCCCAACAACATCAATGCCTAGCAACATCAACACTCATCAGACAGCAACACCCAACAGGCATCAAGCGGTAACACCCCAATAAACATAATTCGCTGGACTCTGGGGCAGTCCCAGCAGATTGGAAAACAGCAAATGTGACGCCACTGTTTAAAAAGGGAAGTAGACAAAAGATGGGGAATTATAGACCGGTTAGCTTAACCTCTGTAGTGGGGAAGATGCTGGAGTCTATTATCAAGGAAGAAATAGCAAGGCATCTTGATAGAAATTGTCCCGTTGGGCAGACGCAGCATGGGTTCATGAAGGGCAGATCATGCTTGACAAATCTTTTGGAATTCTATGAAGACATTACGAGCAAGGTGGACAATGGGGACCCAGTGGATGTGGTGTACCTAGACTTCCAAAAGGCCTTTGACAAGGTGCTGCACAAGAGGCTACTGCATAAGATAAGGATGCATGGCATTAAGGGTAGAGTATTAGCATGGATAGAGGATTTGTTGACTAACAGGAAGCAAAGAGTGGGGATAAATGAGTGCTATTCTAGCTGGCAGTCAGTGACTAGTGGTGTGCCTCAGGGATCGGTGTTGGGACCGCAATTATTTACAATTTATATAGATGACTTGGAGCTGGGGACCACGTGTAGGGTGTCAAAGTTTGCAGATGACACTAAGATGAGTGGCAAAGCAAAGTGTGCAGAGGACTATGAAACTTTGCAGAGGAACATAGATACATTGAGTGAGTGGGCAAAGGTCTGGCAGATGGAATACAATGTAAATAAATGTGAAGTCATACATTTTGGTAGGAGTAATAGTAAAAAGGATTATTACTTGAATGGTAAAAAGTTGCGGCATGCTGCTATGCAGAGGAACCTGGGTGTCCTTGTGCATGAATCACAGAAGGTAGGTCTGCAGGTACAACAAGTAATTAGGAAGGCAAATGGAATTTTGTCATTTATTGCTAAAGGGATTGAAATAAAAAGCAGAGAGGTTATGTTGCAGCTGTACAAGGTGCTGGTGAGGCCACACCTGGAGTACTGTGTGCAGTTTTGGTCTCCTTACTTGAGAAAGGATGTACTGGCACTGGAGGGGGTGCAAAGGAGGTTCACTAGGTTGATTCCAGAGTTGAGGGGGTTGGCTTATGAGGAGAAACTGAGTAGATTGGGGTTATATTCATTGGAATTCAGAAGATTGAGGGGGGATCTTATAGAAACATATAAAATTATGAAGGGAATAGATAAGATAGAAGTAGAGAGCATGTTTCCACTGGCAGGTGAAGCTAGGACAAGAGGGCATAGCCTCAAGATTAGAGGGAGCAGATTTAGGACTGAACTGAGAAGGAATTTCTTCACCCAGAGGGTTGTTAATCTGTGGAATTCCTTGCCCAGTGAAGTAGTTGACGCTACTTCAGTAAACGTTTCTAAAAAAAAGGTAGATTTTTTTTGAACAATAAAGGAATTAAGGGATACGGTGAGAACGCGGGTAAGTGGATCTGCGTCCACGAAAGGATCAGCCATGGTTTTATTGAATGGCGGAGCAGGCTCAAAGGGCCAGACGGCCTACTCCTGCTCCTAGTTCTTATGTTCTTATTATGTTCTTATAATACCTCCACAAACTTTAACACTGAACAAAATGTCAACACTTGACAAACATCAACACTACAACAAACAGCTACATCCAATCATGAAAGAAATGGGCAATGTGCATTTCTGCATCATCCTTCAGCAGCTCTGGCTATCCCAAGACACTTTATAGCCAAAGAAGGAAACATGACATTCAATTTGCACACCATGAGTAGCTTCAAATAGCAATTAAGTAAATAACCAGATCATCCGTTCTTAGTGATTCTGATTGTAACATAAATTTTGGGCAAGATAACATAAGAACATAAGAACTAGGAGTAGGAGTAGGCCATCTGGCCCCTCGAGCCTACCCCGCCATTTAATAAGATCATGGCTGATCTTTTTGAGACTCAGCTCCACTTACCTGCCCACTCACCATAACCCTTAATTCCTTTACTGTTCAAAAATTTATCTAGTCTTGCCTTAAAAACATTCAGCGAGGTAGCTTCAAGATACCAGGAGAACCCCTGCTCTCCTTTGAAATCACGCCATGGAATTGCTACACCCATCCAAGACAGCAGACAGAACTGTGGTTTCATTTCTTATCTGAAAGGTGGCATCTCTGTAGTGCAGATCCCCTTGACACTGCACTGGTGTACTGTCTTGCATTCTGTGCTCAAATTGTTGAACCAACACCTTTAGACAGAAAAGAGATGAAAAGAATTTCTTAAATGTTGCTTGAGTGTAAATTGCAGGTTTCAGTTTAATTCTGAACTTCATTTCTGGTGGAATGAAATATTGAATGTAATTAATCTAACTGAATAGAAGCTATAATGAAGGTGTTCTATGTAGATTAAGTTCTAATAATGCACAGTAAAACATGTCCTGATGAAGAGTTTCGGCCCGAAACGTTGACTTTCCTGCTCCTCAGATGCTGTCTGACCTGCTGTATTTTTCCAACTTCACACCTATTGACTCTGGCTTCTGGCCTCTGCAGTCCTTACTGTCTCCAAAGCATAACCCTGCTGCCTTCTACTACCCCTATTCATTTGTTCTGCTATTTTTGATCCGCAAACACGTTTTGAGTTCTGCTTTCTGATGAAAACGGAGTAATGTTGTCACTCCTTTCAGAAGGGAACAAATGCAGAATGAATCTCATTCACCCCTAGCCCTGTCTCATTGCATGTGAATGTGTTATTGTGTCTGTGGCAGGAATGTGTATTGATTAGCCAGTAAAGCTGTTCACACTGTTACATCATTCAACAACTCTTTGATGTTTTGTCAATTTAATTTTCCACCACTGAACTGCAGTTGTTTAATATGTGCAATCTGCCTGAGCACTTAAAGGAACACATTCTTTTTCCCAGTTTATATTATCTTTAACAGTTGTCTCACCTAGCAGATTTATTTTCTGGCTATACAGAAATTTATTGAAACTACTGTAACTCTGAACTGATTTGTAACTAATCCCACAGGTTTATTTTTTTTTCTCAAATAAAGTATGTTTTCATCTGACAGGGTAAAATCATTAACAGGAATGGATGCTGTCCAATCTGCACTGAAAGTGAGTAAATGTATCCCTGTCTATAATCTTTCCAACTTGAAATGATCAGCTCCAATTGACAAATTCATTCACTCCCCTCCAGCCCTCTTGCATTGGATGTGGGGGTGAGGAAAGGGGGCATGTGGGTGGAGAGAACCATACTAGAACCATTCTATATCCTATATGTTCTAGAAGGAGAATCCATAGGGGGAAAGGATATGGGGAATGGTAGGAAAAAGAGGGAGGGAAGAGTGTTCAGGAAGAGAGGAGCATGTTGGAGGGGGCATAGGGATTGTAACATGGGAGATGAGAGAGGTACAATTGAGAGGACAGTGGTGAGGGGAAGGCTGACGGTATGGGGAGGGTGACAGGTTGGGGAGGGGTTTATATATTTTGTCAGCATTGTGGTGGGGTAGGGGAGAATGTTGGAAAGCACAGGCTGGAATTCCCTTTTTGCTGTTCCCACCCTGTGGAATATTTGCCAGGTGAGGAGTGGGAACTTTGTTCAAATATAATCGAGTTTTAATCCCACTTCCAGTAAAGTTTCACTGTAGAAGTAGCAACCAGGAAACTCCTGGTAATAGAAGTCTTGCCTGATTATTAGCCAGTAACCAGTAACCTCCACATTCTGCAATGTCCCCCACCCACCCCCACCTTAAGGCCCCTGCTTGGGCTGACACTTTAAACAAAGCTGCCGTGCTATTTGTCTGGGTATCC